GGAAAGAGGGAACAAGAGGGCGGACGCGCCGCGCCGGCCCGGTTTGATTTCGCCGGATGAGTTCGCAATAACAGTGCAAATTATTATTCCGCTCTCATCCACATCGATCGATATGTCGCTCCAGATCTATATATTGCACAGCTATGATCTGGAAACCGACACCGCCGACCTTCCCCTACCGAGTTACCCGCGGAATTAACTCAGGCAAAGCAAGATGGGACGGTGAAGTGGGAGACGACGAAGAGACCGGAGAGAGAGAAAGAGAGAGAAAGGGAAGGAAGAAGAGGAAGAGTGAGAAAGAGGGAAAAAGGAAAAGAGAGAAAATCGCAAAGAGAGTGTTCATGGAGCAGAAAAATATCGACAGATCGCACACATGTATATATACGTGTGCGCACACGACGTCGCTTTTAATAACCGATAATATTTAACGTGGGCTGAATTCAATTTGTAGGAAAAACAGAGGTACGCTGTTTTCTCCATCGAGAGATTCGATCGTTGACGATCGATTTTGCGGTGGCCCTTTCTCTCGTAGCTTCGACGTAGAAAAATTCTCCTTTACCTCTTTTCGCTGAAATAGGTACGTCGAAACATCGGCGTATTGCTTCACCACGCGCTAAAACGAGCTCAAGGAGAGATCGAAATTCGGGATGCGTTTGCTGTTTCGACAATTTTTCGTAAGGAGAATCGTAGCTCGAGAATACACGAGCGTTTTAGGCTTATTTGCAAATCCAAAGGTTTTTAAGAATTGGAATCAGGTTTTCTCTCTCTCGGTATGTGCAAATAAATAGCTATATCTCATTTCAGGTACAATTTTAATTAAATTTTGCAGAACCACAGAGGGAGGGAGAGAGAGAGTGAGAGAGAGAGAGAGAGAGAGAGAGAGAGAGAGACATGATAATGTTGAAATGATATCGGAGATTTGCGACATTTTGTTCATAATTATTACCTAAAAACGATAGCCTTAGCGTGGAATTCTAAGGCTATCATAACAATGAGAAATCCGCACGGGCGGATAAATGATATCACGTTGCGTTGTGTATCAAAGGTAACGTGCGAATTTATACCGATACACTGATGCAGTACAGGGGGTGAGTGACGCCCGTTCGGAGTGCTCGAAGCCAGAAAAATATTGAAAAATTGACGGACGCACGCTACTACACGCGCGCGAGCTCTGTAGTGTTTAATAATGGATAATATTTGATACCAGATCCGCCCGAGGGCAGGCACTCCCCTCCGTGCCCATTCGTCAGTGCGATCCGATATCAACTCGTTCCACAAAACAGTTTTACAACAAAAATTCAAAATAATAGAATAACCCTTTTAGGACCGGTTAAATCGTCTCTCTTACTAAACTTTGTCCATCGATATGTTTTCACTTGTATGCATGTTTGTCACATATGGTATGTATCATCTCGTCTTATTGTATTCGCGTTTCTTATTTAATATTTTGAGGATTGGAGCTTTAAAATAAAGTAACTTATGGAAGATCTTACTTTCTAAAAGTTTTCGGAGTCACTGAATTCAATTCTCAAAATTTTAAAATTCAAATTTAAAAAAATAATCTGTTTATCATGAGACTTGATTTTAGAAAGTTTTTGGTTGTCTCTGAGTTTGAATGTAGCCTGAAAATATCGAATTTCAAAAGAATAGTAGCTTCCATAAAGGAAGATCTAGTGTTACAGGGTTCATAATCACTGATTATGATTATTAATCAGAATTTGAAAGTCAATTTTGAAAGTCAGAAATCAGTGTACTAACTGTTTACGTATTATCGATGAGCTTCAAATAAAACGAAATTAGGATACTTGATGTTACTTCGTAATTGAAAACTCTCTAAAACCGAGTTTTATGATCAATTATTTTTTTAAATTCTGTCTGCCATATTTTATTTATCGCTTTGAATTTTTTGATCTCAGATTCGAATAAAGCATTATCAAATTATCTCATAGATGAAGTTTAATAAAAATTGAGCGAGCAATTTATAAAATAAAAGGGGGTGATCCCAAACGGGGTCGCCGGTCCACAAAGGGTTAAAGTTAATGTATGCGTAAAGAGTTGAAAGTTAATATATGTATAAAGTGTAGATCTTTTAAAAGAGAACCTTTTTGTATGAATAAGGGATAAATTTAGAAGAGACAGAGAAAAAAGAAAAAGATATCTTCTAATAGGGGCAAGAAGTAGAGCAGTATAATGGATTTCCAATAGTAAAATTGACAGCTACCGGTTTTAAATTTTGCATGTAACGCGCGAATGTTACGCGAATATTTACTCTTTAATGATATTATAATAATTTTATTGAGAATTACGTTGTGTGATTTACGTAACAGCTTTGATTACTCCATACTCGACTTTATTATTGTCAGCATTTCCCTCTGATATTTTCGTGAACTTCCTAAATCAAATTATCGCGAAATAACGATTTCGCTAATTATCGATAATGTCAGGTCTTAATTGGGTGATCATCATTGGCGTATTTTGCACCACCTGTTATGATAGGAGTATTTATTGCAGCCGGACGTGCTGTCCGCAGTGAAAGAGTCCGCGGCGCAAAAGCGGCGGATAATTCTCCGGGCATCGAGATAATAAATTACCCTCGGACACACCGAGAGTAGCGTATACGATCGTACCGTTCCCTTTTATCGAAATGAATATTGTAATTTCCAACCGACTTTCTCTCTGCCGACTCCTCCTTTTTTCTTCCTTCTCTTTTTGTTTCTGTTGCAAAACCATGCTTGCGCCACGATTTATGCCGTTGCTTCCTTCGGCTTGCGAGAAATTTACGTACACGTAACAGGGAAGTTGCAGTTTCGTGGACCGCAGGGACAAGGGAATGCACGTGGCTTTCCCCTAACAATAATTTTCGTCCGTCAAAACTCGTACTTAATATCCAACAAAATAATTTCTCGCGCTTGATACAATCGCTTTTTCCCAATACTAATTTTCGTCCGTCAAAAATTCGCGTTTGGCAAGTCGCTTGATTAAAAATTAAAAATAAAATTTGCTATCCCGTATATTTTTGCGATAATGCACATTTTTAATATTGCTGTCACGGCTCATTTAGATTCCGTTGTTACTCGAATGTATTCTAATATTACGTTTTCAGCTATGTAGCAGCGTTTTTCTGATAAAACATCCCGATAAATTCGCAACGTTTCTCCGTGAAGCTTTTCAATTATGAATATTACTACGTACATACGTATCTCTCAAGTTTCTGTCTCTCGTTTCTCCCTCCTCCCCCCCCCCTCTCTCTCTCTCTCTCTCTCTGTATCGATCTTTGCATATATATACGCGTACATATGCACGATCTTTGTATCAATAGTGATATGTCACGTCAAACATTCTATCCTATAGGTTGCCGCTGGTACACCGAATGTGCATGCGTATATACCGAAGTAGTATATCTGACAGTCTCCCGCGAAACTTCGTAGTATTTGCGTCTACTTCGTGAAACTTGAGAAGATAGTAATTTGAAGCTCTCTCGTCGACCCTATGAGTGTTTATCCCGGAAGTACATATCGCGCTACCCCCGACGCGGGACCGGGACATACGTGGAATATTCATAACGCTTTCACGCGCCTTCCCACCGTTCCATTGTAAATGACTTTGCAAATGTTTCGCTAATTACAATAGAGTCGAGCGTGGTGCTCGCTTAAGCCTGGTTAACGAGCGACGTTGAAATAAAACAACGGGAGGGATGGAGATACGTGTTCCAGTGAAATGACTGCTTCTAGAGAGAGATCTCCGCATTCATTTATTTTATATATACATATATATGTATATTTTTATTGTTATTACAGGCAGGAACTTCAGCAAAAGAAAGAACAGTGCGAGCGTTTTTTAAAAGACAACGAGAACTCTCTGATGCTCTTCGACCCCCGCATCAACAAGATGGCTCAATTGATTTCAGACAAGGAGAAAAGTACGTAGCGTTTTTGGCGTATGCCTTCTTTTTCATTAAACTCGATGTAATAAACTCGATTCATCTCCGTTTTTACCAATTTATAATTTAATTTTAATCTCGATACAAGTAATTCTTTATCTTCTTCTAATTCTAAGAAAAAGATGAAAGGTGAGTTGAACCGAGATTAAAACGGGTATCAGAGATTCAGTACAAATCAGTTGTATGCACATGAGGAAAATCATGTAAAGCGTAAATGTGTCGTGATCAACATGAAACGGCGTTAGAAATCCGAGTTTCCAGAATATGGATCGCAGAATACGATTTGCTCTGACTTAGTAATAAGCTACTGATTATCCGCGAACGATAAGATATTACAGGCGCCGTATGCTGACGCATTACTGGCAACTCAGAGAATTGTGCATCGCACTCGGCGAGTATAGTGCGATACGCGGGCGCGTAACGTTATCATGGAGGCGGTTCTAAAGTGTAATCTGCGGGGATAACAAGGAGGTTAGCGAGGCAAGATTGGCGTCAATATCGTTACCGGGACGCGCGCATGCAAGAGGAAGAGAGAAAGAGAGACAGAGCGAGCGAGAAAGGGTTAAGAGAGGGGAGAGGGAGGTCCGCAATAAAGGCGGGCGTAATAATGTCTCGCGCGATGTCGTCTTCCTCCTACGTGTATCCGGCGTCAAAATGCAGGAGCCATTCCTGGATTATGCGCTCCTATTGTCTTGCGACTATTGACTGTCTTAGAACTGCACTAGAGACAGTTTCCGGATACGTCATTTTCGAGTTCGCCAAGTGGAATAAGGACCGCGCCAATGACTACATCTCTGGTATATAATAAGAATTACAGTATTAACTTAATCGTTCAGTACATACGTTACGTGCACCTGAAGCGATTTCGTTTATAGAAACTTATCCTTATAGAAACGGAGTAGTTAATATGTCGACGAAATAAATCGTTCGGAAAGAAGACGAGAACGTGTATGCAAGCGCGTATGAAAGAGAGAAATGTGAGCAACGAAGTACACAACGCAAATCGGATATTCGGATATTCCGCGTTAAGAAGGTTCTCGTGCTTTCTAGTCAATAGTTTAAATTCTTAAAATTGTGTAAAATAGTTAAAATAGTAACATAATAACATTATCAACAATTCGTTAATGTCATTAATAATTATAATTATAAAGTATACATTTAAGTTTATTCTGGTAAAATTTTGTTTAAATTCGTACAATTTGAGAGAAATTTATATTTTTTAATGAGACGTTTGTATATAAAATAAAATTTAGAAATTAACGTCACAAATTAAGAAAAAATAAAGTACTACAGGATAAAATTTTGCGTATCCTGTAATGTAAAATTTCACACATTTAGAATTAAATATCTTTACAACGGCATAATAAAAATTAGTGAAATTTCTTTTAAATAGTGATGTAACCAACTTTCGTATCATATACGTATTATAGACTTGTCTTATATTTCACTAAACGCGAAAATCTCCTTAAGCCCTCTTTCATCCCGGACTAATTACACGCATTCGTGGAAGACACCTGCGCACGTAATGTAGACTATCACACGCTTTGCCTCGCGTTCAATCGCGCGTCATAAACATACGTTCTTGCGAGATGGAAAAAGATAGGAGAGAGTGAGAGAACGAGCGAGAACGAACCAACTACCACGTATTCTTCGCGGAAATTCTGCGGTGACTTCGCAAGCGATATCGAATTTCGCCCCGTCTCGTAGTCGTCGCGGTATTGTCGACGAAAATCCTATTCACCGGCAGCGATGGCGGTGGTTGGTGGTGGCGACGACGGCGGCGGCAAGCGCGATTCTGCCTTGCACAAAAGCCAACCGTTGCCACCCCGCCGCCGCCATCGTCGCCCCGCAAAATATGTGATTCGTGAAGCCCGGCTTAAGATCCCCGCGCCGGAACCCCGTGGTGTTGCGTAAACTTGCATTCTCACCATCCGTCGCGACTTGCCATTCTCTGGATGGACTTAACGACGCTGCACCACCAACCTTCCTACCATGTTACAAACGATCGAACACATCTAAGAATGTCTCTAAGAGCCCAGGCGAGAACAACGTCACGTTCTTTGTTCTTTGCAAACATTCATTCATCTTGGAAGTACACCAATCGCGGAGATTGCGATGATTTATCAGAAGTAGCTGTTATCCTTTTGCTAGTTGGCGAGGTAATGCTGTCTGTACATCTTGCTCCTAACAGCAGTAATTAACCCTTGTTTCTAACAGCAGTAATTAACTCTAAGTTCTTAACCTCTTCAGATCTAATTTTATTGGAACCATGTTAAAAAAATTTTTTTAATGTAATTTAATAAGCGATTCATACTATTAATTTTTCCGAAATTTTGATTATTTTTCTAATGTTATTATGTACATCTGACCTCAGATAATGTTGATAGAACTAAATAATTTTTAATGGATACGTCTTTAAATTTGATATACATTACAATACACAGGATTTAAAAGGGTTAATAATTTAAGGTTATTAATTTGAGGGTTATTAATTTTAAAGTAAACGTTGTGTGTGTGCAAATATGGAACACTCGCCCTTAGAAGATTAGCAATGCGATCGAGAAGAACGAGAGAAAAAAATTTAAAGAAAAGAATGGAAAAATATCAGAAATTGTTCAATCAAAAATTATTGTGCACAAACATTTGTTCGAATGTCTTCTTCGGATGATCGAACGCGACTCGTTGTTTTACTCGAGGGACTCGTTTTCGCGATCCGTTTAAGCGAAAAGCTCGCGTTCCGACAGCTCTCTCGATATTTTCGCGTCGCTTGCGAACGTCGTGCAGGCGGATCGCGCAACTCGTAATTCCATTCGCCGGGAACTCCGAACAGGGCGAACTCGGTTAGCCCCGTTTTGTAGCACGGCAGGTCTGTTCCTCGATAACGCCGCCACGCTATTTATCGGCTCACGCCCGTGAGCGCTTCTAACCGATGCATGTAACCGCATTCGCGTCGTTCCAAAGAAGCCGCGTCGTCGGCGGAAAGGAGGAGGTGTGCCGAGAGAGAACGCGGGTGGATCCAAGGGAAAATGGCAAATTGAATCCCGTGGTAGGGTGTTACGACGAACCCGGGGCTCCCTCTGCGGAAAACGACACCGTGTTTCTCCATACTCTCTCCTCTGCCTCTCCTCCTCTTTTTCACTCTCTCATTCTCTCTCTCTTCGCGAGATCGATGGGGAATCGAGTTATCGGTCTTAGTAGATCGAGCGCAGTACCTGCGCCGCGTTAACCCACGAAACTTTATTGGCAATGCGCCGCATCGCGCGAATCCACGCGTGCCCGGACTCGCGATCGCTCTGTGAATTCCGTGAAAATCGACTCTCCCTCGTTCTCCACCCTCTCTCCTTCTGTGTCTCTCTCGGGTCTGTCGAGCACGGGTACTTGCGAGCTCAGTAAACCTACCCTTGCCCCTGGAATGAGAAACTTCTTCCTCTCGCGGCTTTCCGGTTTCCGGCGAGCGAGGGACGATCGGCGGAAGTGAATCCAGTGGGTTTTCCCGACCACGACGACGGTCTGATGGTCTGATCCACGACCATACCATACCCGGGAACTCAATATCGCGAACGGGCGCGAAAAATGAAGCGCATCAGATGGCTTTGAGTACTATTGTCGAGGTATTTTGGTTATAAAGAGAGATTTTGGCGACGCCGATAAAAACATGGGACAACTACAAATTTGATCATCTAAAAAATTATTCATATCTTTTAGATTATGAAAAAATTTAGTAACTGTAGACGTGTAAGGAACATCTAAATATAACTACTATTGATAAATAGCAAAAGTGTTTTAATCTGTGGCATTGACTTTTTTGAGAACGTACAACATCTGTACATCGAAGTTATCGGAAAGATATCTTTTACATAAGCTTTTAGATATTGGATATCTTGCACGGAAGAAAACTATTCTTAAATCGACGATAGTATCTATTTGTATAAACAAAAATATTGTAATCTTGCTTCAAAGATTTTAGACTCGATTGGATTGAATTTGTATTGATGCAAGTATTACTTTGCACTCAATTCTAGACTAAAAATCTTGCATCAATACAAATTCAATCAAATCAAGTCTAAAATCTTTGAAGCAAGATTACAATATTTTTGCTTATTTATTTCAGAATATTATTGTCGATTTAAGACTAATCTTTTTTTCTATACGCGCGAATGTTACAGACATTGCAATGAGACCTCAACACCGTGTTGGACGTAAAGATCGATGAAAAATTACAATTCTCTACGGATTTTTCCTCGCCCGCCTCATGTCCCGCCCCCCTGATTAAAAAACTGTCAAGCGTAGTTCGGTAACTCAGTTTGACAGTCGAATATTCAACCACTCGTCCGGGTGACAGACGGTAGAAGGGTAACCGATTGTTGATGTCGAGTCTCAAAACGGTGCGACGTTTATACGAACGATGCCGAGAAACGGGAGACAAAAGCGCGCGCTTTATTCCATATCGAGTGGCGGATTCGAGTTTCTATGGTCGGATTAACGCTGTGCGCCCGCCCTCTCTCTTTCTCTCTCTCTCTCTCTCTCTTTCTCTCCCCCTTCTGTCTCTCTTTCCGTGGTATCAGTGTACGGGCTTTATGTTTGATTCTCCCGGAAACTTCTGGCAAGTTGCATTAGGATTGAACTATGCGCGCGGGCGGTATTGATCCTTGATAGTTCGCAAGCGCTCAGCAAGAATATAATTCGCGATACCGAGTAACGAGCTTAATCTAGCAAGTCACTCTGCCGACTATCGATCTCTTGTTGCCGAGATATTAACGCCCGACGTGCATTAGGCGTGTCGAAAAAAAACCTCGCGCGTGAAACGAGAAGAATGGCAGGGGTAGTAAAATTTGCGATAAAATATCCAAAACTCTCGTGTTCCTTCCTTTATTCCAAGATACTCTCTGTTCGTAAAACAGAATAATTACGATAATAAATCATAAATGTTGTTCCCGCGATGAGAACCAGATCGGCTTTGGGCTCGATGCAGACTAGAT